TCTAAGGGTGCGCCCGGCCACCCTGCGGAGAAAGCTCATTTCGGCCGCCTGTATCCGGGATCTTGCCCTTTTGGTCATGACCCAAAGTTCATGACCATAGGTGAGAGTCGGAACGTAGATTGACCAGTAAATCGAGAGCTTCGCCTTACAGCTCAGCTCCTTCTTCACCACGACGGACCGGTACATCGACCGCATTACTGCAGAAGCTGCACTGATCTGCCTGTCAATCTCCCGTTCCATCCTTCCCTCACTCGTGAACAAGACCCCAAGATACTTGAACTCCTCCACTTGAGGCAGGAACTCTCCACCAACCTGAAGGGAACAAGCCACCCTTTTCCGACTGAGAACCATGGCCTCGGATTTGGAGGTGCTGATTCTCATCCCAGCCGCTTCACACTCGGCTGCAAACCGCCCCAGTGCACGCTGGAGGTCCTGGTTTGATGGGTCCAACATCATCCGCTTCACTATCACAAAACCCGACTGAATAAACGTCTCTCCCTGGCTACTGTGCATGAACATGACATGTTTTTTTTTCCTCCTTCCTCTATCAGATAGGCTGTATTACTAGCAGGGTATTTGTACAGGCGCAAGTAATGACTGCAATTTGCTACTATTTGCTGTCCTGTAAGAGCCCCGTGCCTGGTAATGGTAGCGCTATAATAGTTATCAGACACAGGTTACTATTATCATGCTATGAATCTGCCATAAGCTATTGTGTCCAAATGTACATCTGAGTGACACTGAAAGAAGAGGCTGGCAGTCTAAGGATGAAATGGGGGGATTACTGCTTCTATTTGAGAAGTGTTGTATGTATGAAAGATGTCTCAGATTGTAATTTATTAAGACCAGATAATATCCTTACCTCAAACAGAAAAAAGAAACAGAGAGTTTTCATTGCACAAATTCAGCCAGAAGCCTTTTGCCAAGGCATAACATACTAAAAGCAGAGGAACAATAAAGTTAACTCATCATCATATACACATCCATGTTCTCTTTACCTTCCAGCATTAGCTATGGAGCTCATATATTTGTAATGGAATTACTTTGCAAATATTGCAGAGCTCATAGGCTGATTTGTTCATTCATTTACAAGACTAGACAAGAACCTGTCATGAATTACTGTCAGGTGCGCAAAATATTGCAGAACCACAATTTTTTAATTTAGCATATTAACAATAATGATGTAAATGAGCACAGTCTCAGCAGTGTTAGATTGAATCCACACCGTTTATAAGGGCCGAGTGCCTGTATTGTGAACGTGTGGACCGAGAAGGAGCATAGAAGAAAGTGTAAGTTTACTGCAACTAAACTTTAATATGGCTGAAGAAACAAAAAACATTTTTCAGAACCTGTAAAAGTCCTTTACATTCTCCTCGGGCGATTGATGTGATTTACAGACATCATCTCCCTCCTCAAACACGTTCTTATCGCTGCCAAGATCTCGGATGACTAACAGCTGCCACGCTGCAAGCCAGGCCGCAAAGATTACATTTGATTTCTCCTCAATTTCAGCTGTAGTTCCATCTGCTCCAGCAGTGGTAAATCAGGCGCTGAGGGTAATTATATGCATTTCCGTTCTCTTCTCCCTTATTCTGCATCCTCGAATGCCTTAGAAGGCATATTGCATGAGACCCAATGCTCAAATTCCAGTGGTGCTACATTTCTTCTTTTCTCCAGCGCAAAACCCCACTGCGCTTAGTAAATATGAACACAGGCAATTTCAAAATTTAGTGCCAAAGAATGAACCACAAAATCATAGTGAATATCCCCCCTAAGACTTTATAGCCGTGCTAGCAGCTTTGTGAGATTGTACCTGTACTTTGATGCAGCTTTGAGCTAAATGTTCATGTCAGTATGCTAACATTTTCACACCATCAACTGTGTATAAATCTGGATGTCATGACAGCTCCCAGAAGTTAAGCTACCATAAGTCGATCACCCCCCTGGTAGCTGGTTGCACTATAGGTCATAAATCCCACCTCCTCCATGTAAGTGGATCGGATATGAGCCAAACTAAAAACTCAAAGTACAAATCAGGTACATTTTTTCCAGAGGTCAATTCTGTGGTTTTTGGTAATTATCATACAGATGTGTGTGCAAGTGGTAATATTTCTGCTAGGTTTGTTTTAATACATTACTTTAATATATAAAAAGGTTGTGTTTCAGTTGATTTGCCAGCTTTGATTGATGTCTGATGCTGTCACTCCACTTCTGGTCACTACTGTGCACAATCTGGTTGCAAAAAAGCAGAATGGCACCTGTCACATTTACAATAGTTTTGCTTCACTTTTGCATAGTGGAGGAAAATGGTGACCTATATCATACACTGTATATGTCAGTGGTTCACAATGGCAATGCTATTATGCTGATATTAAATAGGTATTTTGTTTACCATGCTAGTATTTTAGTTTACATATTAGCAGGCTAACCTTTGCTAATTTGTGCTGTACATACTGTAAAGTACAGCTTAGCGTGAAAACAATGTTATTAATTGCATATTGTAGATACTGGGTCATAAATAAAGTACTGGACAAAATGAAATTTAACCTGATGGTGGTCTTGTTGATTGTGCGTATCCTGTATCACTACGGCGCAAATACTGCTGACTCCAAGTCATAAGAGAAACCTTACTAGCACCTCAACAAACCAAACAAGCTGATCCAGTAATTTTTAGTGCAACATGTTTGATGCAGACTGCACCCATGAGCCACAAGGACAGTCATGCGTTTTCAAGTGTTCAGTCCAGGCCTAACTGTTTGGACAAAAGATGTCAAAGAGGGTATTGGACATTTTTGAAGTATAAAGTGATATGAAAACCATTCATTATCTATACCACTTATTCCTGAACAGGGACCTGATGCCTATCCTAGCTCACACTGGGCAAGAGGTCAGAGGGGTACACTGTGGGCAGGTTACCAGTCTGTCACAGGGCTGACATTTAGACAAACAAGCACACACACTACGGGAGGCCCCAAGTCAGCCTGGGCTCGAACCTAGAACCTTCATGCTGTGAGGTGACAGTGCTAACCACTGCTCAGCTGTGCCACCCTCCTGAAAGCCAATGTATGGTTTTGTGTCTGATTAATCCTACAGCAGTTGTTTGGGCAAAAGAAATGAAAAGAGCTGATGTACTGTTTAAAGTTAAGACATTTCTACAAAGAGCTGCCATTAGAATTCACCCTCACCACCTTCCAGCTCTCCTGTGCCCTTTGCATGTGCAGTATTATTGATGTCATATTTAAAATGAATGAGGCATTTTGGGAGTGTATGCATGCATGTGCTCATGTGTGTGAACATGTCTCAGGTGGTCATTGATGCATTTAATTATTTAACAACTGCCCCATAAAATCTGTCTCAAACTCTCAGTTTGCTTCAACTTTTTCATTTTGTGTGTGTTTTCTTGAGGCAGTTCCTTGTCTGCCAGTCCACCTGTAACCAGCAAACAGCATCCAGCAAGCTGAGATAAAATATATGGATGCTGATACTGTACATTGGAGATTTTGGATATTTAAACTTAAGTAAACCTAAGTATGCAATGGTATGATTAAAGTGTTTTCTGTAACTTTAGAGTATTCTTCAGGGTAAGCTGTGCTTCCTAATAATTGTGCAAACAGATGGCAAGTTGTGATAATGTGGACAGCAGCAGAAAACATTAGTTTAATGACTTCAAAGACAACTACAGTATCTGTGGAAATAGACTTCTTAAGTGATCGTTCCTGTCTGTCTCACTGCATCCCCTGATGTTCAGATAGTCCTTTGCTGCATTTTAAAATAGGTAAATTTGGACAGCATTGTTTGATGTCCCTGTTACTGCCCGAGTTCTCCAGTTTCCCCAAGGAGATTAGTTTCATCTTAGTATCTTAGTCATGCAGACACACAGATGGCAGCCGGTAGAGATTTAACTGATAAAAGGAGTAATCCCTGATGTTTATCTGAATGGTGTTAAGTACAAAAGCATATTATTTTCAAGGAATTCATAAGAATTAAGCTAACTTAGTCCTCTAATGTTTTGATGAGGGCTGATGCTGAAAACTGTCAGCTGTGTGTAAGATTCATTGTGTATATGGTCACTCATGTTGGAGGAAATTTTGATCTGATAATGATCAAAATTGATTACAACTCATCCTGAGATGAACATAAAAAAATGTTTGTGCCAAACTCAGTGGCTAGACCTTTCCATTTCTCTTCACTTCCTGTATAATCCAGCTTTCATACTGCCAGAGAAAAGATAACATCAGTGCAGTATGTATCCCAGGAAGACAATACAATAATACAGGAGGAAAATCCACAGCTTTTAATCTGACATCCTATCATACATTTATACATTATGGAAAGTAAGTGAGCAAACAGAGGGCCCAGTCTGATTAATTTGAAAGGGAGATGTCCAGATATTTGAGATTATTTTCAGTTTCCTGCTCCCACTGACAATTCATTGTTATTTACTTACTTAGCAAAAGGGTGCAGTCTTAACCCGTGTGTGATTACATGTGTTTAAACTTCAGTTTTTCCCCTTCTAGTTAGCATTGTGGCATTGTAAGCAGCACCTCCAGAGCTGTTTATCTCTGATAGTCGCAGTGGGCTTGTTCCTTTAATCTCATGTTCCAGGCACAGGACACCTCCAGTGGAGCTTCTTTATACCAGGTATAAACTGTTTCAAGGACGTGTACACAGGGTTTGTGTGCAGCATTAACCAGGCGTGTGTTTTATTTCCAGGTCGACCGTGTACCAGTGGAGAGCTGTGAGCAGTACACATCCTGTGGAGCCTGTCTCGGATCAGGAGACCCTCACTGTGGCTGGTGTGTGCTGCATAACCTGTAAGTGCACGTACTGTTCACTGTGTTGTGCTGGTTATTTCAGTGGTTACATTAAGTGGGTGCTGTGCCGTTAATCTGTTACTGTGATGAGCGGAGACGTTGAAATTCCACCAGTTACATTTTTTAGGCATGTTTATGTTCTTAATGGCCTAACAAACTGGAAGTTTAACCACTTTGTGAGGACTGAATTTTTTGTTTCCCAAGCGAGAAGCAGTCAATGCAACATTCTGACCAAATACTCTTACCCATGCTTCTAAACAAAGCCTATTCTCCCCAAACAAATACAGCCAGTAAAAAGGATTCATGTGGATTTAGTATACAAAGAAATCACAATTTAATATCTCTAAGGTTTGTGAAGTGAGGTGTGACCGCCGTCTATCCTTCTCTAGATGTTCACGGAAGGATCACTGTGAGCGAGCAGAGGAACCTCAGCGTTTTACTACCAGAGTGGAGCAATGCGTCCGTCTCTCCGTCCAGCCTGACACTGTTTCTGTCACCATGTCAGAAGTGCAGGTACAGTGTCTTGGTGTTCAGATGGGTCAGAGTAAGTGCAGTGGATATGTGTGTATTTGTCTGACAGGGTGAAGTGGAAGCAAGAAAGCCAGACAGGAAAAGGGAGCAAGATAGATGTGAAATGAGATTAAATAGATCTTGTGTATCGGCAATCTGTCCATCACTGTGAGCATGAGCTGAAAAGTGACTTTTTAGCCACATGTCTGAGCTTTATTTTATTCTATGGGGCCGTAGAAATTGTGTTTATGGAATATATTGATTTAATTTAGTTTAAGCGCTTAACCTATCTGCTCTTCTTCTGCCTCCAAGTTGGTACTTCAGACCCAGAATGTTCCCGGCCTGTTTGCTGGAGTGAACTGTTCATTTGAGGACTATGTAGAGACGGAAGGACGCATCTACGGTGGAAGGATCTTCTGCCTGTCCCCTTCTAAAAAAGAGGTCGCCCCTATCACACGAGACAAAAGTTGTCTCACTATCTGGCTGCCTGTAATGTTTAAACCCAGAGAATTCATATATAATAAAATATGATCAATATATAAATCTTGTGAATTCTTTGCGATTATACAAATTTGAAACCTCTGATTCACAAACTTACTTCACAAAACTTCTAAATGTGTATGGGCAGCTCAACTGTTTCCTCTACTGACTAAGTTCTCTGCAAACCCTATTGATTCTGCTCTAGGCTTTGCTCACTTTCCATCAGAAACACTGTGCCTCCAAAATGCCAGCTATGCAGGAACTGACAAGTAACACATGAAATAAGACTGTTAACATTTCAGAATACATAGCCTGTGACTGGGCATGATCCTGGGGTCACGATACACTTTCCACACACCAACTGTAAGTGATAATGTCAGTTGTGCACTGTGGAAATATAGGAAGACTGTAAAAAAAAGAAAAGCACGGATGTTTTGTGTCTACTTGCAGGTGACCAGCGTGTTATTAAGTTGTATCTGAAGTCAAAGGAGACGGGGAAGAAGTTTGCCAGTGTGGACTTTGTGTTCTACAACTGCAGCGTCCACCAATCGTAAGTTTGCCATTAAATATGAGTGGAGTGGAAGAGATGAGAAAGAAAAATTCTCAGAACTGATTTGCCTTTTTTCCTAGATGAATAAACTGAATGCCACTTCAGAAATGCAATGACATTACCCATCCAGCAAAATGCAGACTGGTGCCAAGTAGTCATCAAGTGAAAGGTGACTGTGGCTCTTTACCAAAAGCAGTTGTGCTAAAATATTAGCCCTCAAAGAACTCCTGTAATGGGGAATGGAAAGAACAACACTCAGCCTCAGCTAATTCATTATTCAATGTATTTAAGCTTTTTACAAATCAATTAGTTAATTAAATCTCAAGCAATGAAGGGATTACTGGAGAGTGAAATAATAAATCGATTCCTAACCATGTGAGACCTTAAAGGGCAACCAAGCTCGAGAGGTTTAACCACATCAGTTGTGTTTCTTGGAAATGAATTATTCCTAATTTAAGTAGAGGAATACTGATTGACTTTTCAGCACTGGCTCGACTTAGCCTGTTTCTGTTTAAATGCACCGCTGACTTTGTTATCTAAGAAAAAAGAGCAGATAAGGACAGAGAGAGATGACATAATGTTTCCTGTAAGAAGACTCTATTCTAATTGGTTTGAAACTGCAGTTCATTTAAATCGCCGTTATAAATGGTACTTAATCATAGACTTTTTAAAAACATCTATGACAGTGCTTCAGTTGAAGATCAGTTTAACTGCTATTTGTAAGACTGTAATTTTAAAACTGCAAGAGCCAAGATTAGGAATCACAGTAGTAGGTAGGTACGGCTGATATCTTAAGCTACATACAGTATTGTTCAAAATAATAGCAGTACAATGTGACTAACCAGAATAATCCAGGTTTTTAGTATATTTTTTATTGCTACATGGCAAACAAGTTACCAGTAGGTGCAGTAGATTCTCAGAAAGCAAACAAGACCCAGCATTCATGATATGCACGCTCTTAAGGCTGTGAAATTGGGCAATTAGTTGAAAGGGGTGTGTTCAAAAAAATAGCAGTGTCTGCCGTTGACTGTACAAACACAAAACTATGTTGTACAAACGTTTTTGTTTCTAGGATTTAGCAATCCTGTGAATCACTAAACTAATATTTAGTTGTATGACCACAGTTTGTTATAACTGCTTCACATCTGTGTGGCATGGAGTCAACCAACTTGTGGCACCTTTCAGCTGTTATTACACTCCATGATTCTTTAACAACATTCCACAATTCATTTACATTTCTTGGTTAAAAAAAAGGCATGTGCAGAAGAGGTTACAATTTGCCAAAGAACACGTCAACTGGCCTAAAGAGAAATGGAGGAACATTTTGTGGACTGATGAGAGTAAAATTGTTCTTTTTGGGTCCAAGGGCTACAGACAGTTTGTGAGACGACCCCCAAACTCTGAATTCAAGCCACAGTACACAGTGAAGACAGTGAAGCATGGTGGTGCAAGCATCATGATATGGGCATGTTTCTCCTACTATGGTGTTGGGCCTATTTATCGCATACCAGGGATCATGGATCAGTTTGCATATGTCAAAATACTTGAAGAGGTCATGTTGCCTTATGCTGAAGAGGACATGCCCTTGAAATGGTTGTTTCAACAAGACAATGACCCCAAACACACTAGTAAACGAGCAAAGTCTTGGTTCCAAACCAACAAAATTAATGTTATGGAGTGGCCAGCCCAATCCCCGGACCTTAATCCAATCGAGGACTTGTGGGGTGATATCAAAAATGCTGTTTCTGAAGCAAAACCAAGAAATGTAAATGAATTGTGGAATGTTGTTAAAGAATCATGGAGTGTAATAACAGCTGAAAGGTGCCACAAGTTGGTTGACTCCATGCCACACAGATGTGAAGCAGTTATAACAAACTGTGGTCATACAACTAAATATTAGTTTAGTGATTCACAGGATTGCTAAATCCTAGAAACAAAAACGTTTGTACAACATAGTTTTGTGTTTGTACAGTCAACGGCAGACACTGCTATTTTTTTGAACACACCCCTTTCAACTAATTGCCCAATTTCACAGCCTTAAGAGCGTGCATATCATGAATGCTGGGTCTTGTTTGCTTTCTGAGAATCTACTGCACCTACTGGTAACTTGTTTGCCATGTAGCAATAAAAAATATACTAAAAACCTGGATTATTCTGGTTAGTCACATTGTACTGCTATTACTTTGAACAATACTGTATGTAACAGTTGTTTTTAGTTTTGCTGGCTCTCTGCATGCAGGTATTGTACTCTTAATACTTAGCCACAGGTGTTTTGTTCATGAAAGAAATACCACTATAGGCAATTAGTTGACTATAGTGCAGACTGTTTTGTTCATGAAAGAAATACCACTAAGTATAGGTCTGATCTTTGAAAAGTTGGGGATTGAACTGCATCTTTATGCTGCTGGACACGGCAGTGAGTCCTTAGAGGGGTGTTAGCAGCTGCAAGAAGGGTAAGGTGGGGACGGTTGCAACACTTTTATCACTTTGCTCAGTTACTCAGAGACTCTACATTAGACCTACATGCATTAAAATGGTGCTACTTAACTAAGTTTGAGGGTGTAATGTTTTTGTAGTTGTTATTGTATCAGTTATTACATGACTGCTAGAGGACAGTTGCGACAGCCATAAAAAACTCTCTCTTGCTTGCTATGTCATATACAGTAAAAATAAACAAAACAATGATTAAAATAATGTAAAATCAGTTTTTTTATGCAAACAGTCAGGACAGTATAACAAGAAGTATGATTATGAAAGAAATTCCTTTCATACCCCTAAAGTATTTTTGGGGGTCATGTCCAGAAGGAAAGCTCGGATGTAGCAGCTGTTTTCCTGCTGTTGGTGAGGGGCTCACCAGACGTGCAAAATGACACAGCTGATCCACTGCAGTATGGATCACATCTGGTTTTATTCCTGTCTATCCTTTGTCATTTTACTCCCTACATTGATGCTTTACTTTATTATTTCTGTTTTCCACATATTCCAAGTGTTTCTCTAAGTGCATTTGTCTTGTGTTTAACTTTTCTTGCCCTTTTAGCTTCCAGTCTTCCACCTTTTCTCTCCACAGCATGTTTTTGTTTTATTCATCTTCTAATTTTGTGTTGTATTTATGCTAGTTGTGGCAAATAGCTTGTTTGTCCATCCTGCTTTATTGTTGTCCATATCTTATGAGATTCCTTTTTTCATTACCTTCTTTCTATTTTCCTGTTTTCTTGTCTTTTCACCTATTTTTTGTCTTTTCGTCCACAACTGTAATATTTTTGCATTTAGTGTTTCAAGTTATGTGTCTTCTTTTTTATTTTGTTGCCATTGTCCTGTTTTCCAGTTCCTTTTCTGACTGGTTGAGTTTAGTAATATTCATAAAGCCTAACATAGCATGGGTCAGGACGGACTAGTACTTACAGTATGTCAATCATATGTATTTATAATATAGTGTTAATCTTGAATCGGTCATTGATCAGTTTGCTAAACTCAAGTGAAAGAGACACAAGTTAAAGTATATAAGATACGTTGCCTGGACAAATTCTATTTCATTCATGTACACATTTGCATACGACACAATATTAAGAGCAGCAGTGTAGACGGACAATACAACCTGCACTGTGACAAAAAATTTCACAATTCCTGACATGACCACAGAACCCTAAGCTACTTATACCAGTTCACTTTCTTTCAACATTGACCTACAACACTAAAAATCCTTTTCAGGAACAACAACATTTGGGCCTATGATTGATTGAATGACTGGACCTAACTGCGCTACTGGTGTTAATGATAGAGTCCTAGAATTAAATTGTAATGAGGGTCCGATTTACCACACTAATATGTTTTCCTTAAATTGTTCAGTTTAATCTGTTTTGTCTTCCAGTGATGCATATATTCATTGAAAATGCACAAAGAGAGGAAGGAGAGTAGAGTGAGAGAGGCATAGCTGCAGTGAGATCACCTTGATAATGAATGAAGAATGTGTTCTTAATTGACCTGCCTTGTTAAATAAAAGTTAAATGAAAATAAATAAAATGTCATTCCCTAAATGACTCTTGGCTGCTGCTCTCAGGTTGCTGAGTGGGATTCACTCACATACACGTTGTCTCTTTCTCAACTCTCTCTCACTCCAGTCTCTTCCACCTGGCACACACTCACCTCTCGTGTCTGCACTTTGCGTCGGTGCACCTGAAATGAAAATGCATCTGTGGCATGCTCAAAGTGGGTTTCACTTTTTCCTGTCAAGTGTAGATTGATGACAGTATCACTTCTTCCTATGCTGACATTATTTAGAATATCCTAAACAAGAATAAGAGCATCCTGAAAACACGTGTCACTAGTAAATAATTGTTTTTTGTTTTGTATGTGGACTCAGTGTCACCTGCCGAGTGAACAGTGTATTGTTTGTTCATTTATGTCTGAATGTCGTTTTTTTCTATTCTGTGTGCAAAAAAGGGGGAAAAGCTCCTCTTTAGCCAAACAGTAACAGAAAGTAAGGACTCAACTCTCTCTCCATTATTACGTTTTTCCCTTTATTTTGGTTGTAGTTTGCATTTTAAATACAATAATAATGGACTAAATTGATCCTGGTTCCTTGCTTCAGCTAGAAAGGTTCCCAGGCCAAAACACTGAAAATAGTTGAAAACTCAAAACTATTACTTATGATAGTAACTTTTAATTCTTAGACAGAAGCAGTATAAGCAACTAGTAATTAGAGGTGAAAGTGTATGTGTCCTGCTTTCGTTCTGTGAGTCCCCCGTGTAACTCTTACACCTTTTTTTTTGTCTGTGTTATATTTTCTTTCCTCCTCTCAACAACCCCAACCCCTCTTTTAGCCCCTCCACCAACCTCCCTTTTCTTGCCCCTCTCTCATTCATCAGGCCCATTTATTGCCTGCACTCAGCTCTTGGCCCTGCATATATCTGCATAGTAATAGGCCGTTAATTAGCTCTAGTGTGGGTGTGTGTGTGGAGATGGTCATAGAGGAGTGGGCTTGGAGTGAGCGCTCACCTGGG